TTTCAGGTGCTGGCCCACTCGCCCCACCTAGTGCTGAGCTTTAGGTACTTGAAGGGATGGGAGTTAAGTCGGTGGGTCTAAGGTACGCTTAGTCCGTCTCTGAGAAGATAAATGTTACAGCGTGTTTATTCGGGGTGGGTGGGGGGAGGAGGTGTGTTGTTCCGTTGCTTGCAGGCAGCGTCATCTGGATGTTTGCCCCGTGGCTGGATTTTTAGCGGTGGTAATTTCGCGGGGGAGGGTCAGTGTTACCAGTGTCGCTTGAAGGAGACTGGCAGCTTAGGGGTACAGCTGGTTCTTAACTTTGAGTCTTGGCATGTTAGCGAAGGCAGACTTGTGAGCCGTCGGAAGGATTATAGATGATTGTTTCTGGTGGCCTGACCCGTGCTGTGCCCCTGAGCACCTGTATGATCTGGCTATGGAAACAGGTCCTAGCTTAGGACACAGCAGGGTGTCTTTAAAGCCTGCGTGTGTGAAGGGGGGTGGGGTGGGGGGGTGTGCTGCCTTCAGCTCTGTGAAGGTTAGCTCCTGTGCTGGCGGCTAGCAGGTGAACTGCAGCTATGACGGAAGATCCTTGTCTGCACAAACATGTCTTAAATATCATTGTCCCCCTCGCTAAAGTCAGACATAGCAAATGGTGCCTAAAACGGAGATCCACGGCGCTGAGGTCAAGATTTCCCCCAAAAGGATGCTAATTATGAAGGTTATGCTGCAGATCCATAAATCTGTGGTATCTTACTGAAAGTACTTTTCCTGAGTTTTTCCTTTTTAGGTAACCAGTCAATCAATCCTTTATGTAGTCTGTTGGAAGGTTGACTGAGTTTAAAACCAGTGGGTTTTGGTGAAGTTTTGTTTGTTTGTTTTTAAAGACTTTCCTTTCTTCCTGTCCCTTCCACTTCTATCTTTTCAAAGTAACTATTTCTACCCAGTGTGGATATAGCTGAAAAATTTCACTGTTTTTAAAGCACTGTTTATCTTTTATTTCAGGGTCTTCACCAAATTTCCCGGAGGACCATAAGCACTGCTTCACGCAGGCAGTTTGAAAATAGAGTTCCTGAGAAGCAGAAGCTTTTTCAGGTATTGAGTGAGCACTGATAGTAGAATAACAAGGTTTTAGTAGATCATAATTGCATACATTTTGTTTCTAAAGAACTGGTGAAAGTCCTCTTTACATCTGAGGTGAGCTCTTGAAATCAGTTGTATGACTGCAGCGTTTGAAATCAGTTATTTTCTACAGAGACGAAGAGTATTTGTACATGCATACTTGACTTGCTGTCTCTTTAGGGTTTTTTACCCTGTGAAATTATTTGTACCCGAGTTTCTTATGAGTAGTAGGTACTGTACAAAGAAAAAGACAAAGTGCTCTGAAATGGGATGAGATGGGGGAGTATGTCATAAGAACAAATAGAGAAAAACGGCAAGTGAGAGGTGAAAAGTTAAACCTGCAATCTTACAGCTATATATCCATAGCTCATAGATGAGCCCCATAATTCTTAATAAGGATGCGGTATAATTGTACTTCTCAGTTATGAAATCAGTAAAGGTCTTAAGGGATTGGATTCACTCCTAGAAAATTATTGAATCTTTAAAAATAATTTCTGAATTAATCTCTTCCTGATTGATAGGGCCACCTAGTGAGAACTAGCGGTTCTTCAAGCGCCAAAGCAGTGGATACCCAAGAGCATACTCCCAGCTGTGAGCTGTAACCTGGACCAGTAGCTTCGTACTGAGGATAGAGTAGACTGGGCTTCAGTGATGTGAAAGGGAAAAAGCATGTTAGAAGCCCCAGTTTAACAGTTTTTGTGTCTTGTTGCTTTCCTTTCTCCTGAAAGAGAAAGCCGGTCTTGTTGGGACACTGCCTAAGGGGCACAGTGTTCATTGCGAGCTAAGGGGAAGTGGGGATGTTGGCAATGGGTGAGGTCAGAGGTTCTGCTTCTGCTGGCGGAGATCTCTAGGCGTATCTCTTCCTCCTCCCATTCCTTACTTGTGGGGCAGCCAGTTAAGCTGGGCTGGGTTGCGGGTCAGCAGCACTGGAGGCTGGCTTGAATTCCGTCAGCAGCGTGGACTTGCTGACAAGGGTAAAGATTATGTGGATCTGGTGTCTAGGAGTTTTACTGCAGGTGGAGCAAAACGATTTCCTGTATGACACCAGGTGATAGTAGAGGCTCCTCCCCGTGTCGCTCCCTACAGCAGGGATTGACTATGCTGGCGATGGATGGGCAGTTTCTAGGGATGGTAATCATACCCTGTGCACCCGAGGGGGCTGGCAACTGGTGTCAGAAGTGTTTAGGCATCTGCCAGTCACTGCTTTAGAAATGAATGTGCACATCATTTACTATACTTCCCTGGTGAGTGGTCACGTGATACCAGAGTGAAAGCTTGAAAGACAAAGTGGAGTCTAAATAAGGTTCAGTGTCTTTTGGGAGTTGGGAAGATGATTTGGGGAAGTAATTCTTGTTCTGGGTAACTCTGGTTATATTAACACAATATTGCAAGAACTGTATTTAAATAGTTTCTTTTTGTCACTTGTTTCCATTAGGAGGATAATGGCATCCCAGTGCATCTTAAAGGTGGTGTAATGGATGCTCTGTTGTATAAAGTCACCATGGGTCTTACAGTTTTTGGTAAGGCTAATACTAAAATATTTATGCTTTGGTACAATTTCCAACGTGCTAATATTAAAATACTTTTTCTTTGGTACAATCTCCAACATGACTGGTGTTTCCTCTGTAAATCACTTACAGAGTTCCTTCAGTCTGCTCTTTAGAACATGCAAAATGCATGTAGAGAGGGGGGGGAAAAAACATTTGGGCATACTATATATTTATTTGTGCTTTCTCAAGCTTTTCAGATGGATTTTTTTTCCCCTGACTAATAGTACTATGGGCTGAACGCTCCTTCAGAATTCATGTGTGACGTTAGAGAAAACTAGAACTGCTTAGTCTTATTCTGAAAAGAAGTAAAATGTATTTATAGCACATACATATACCAGTTTTCTCACTAGCCTGACTCTTTCTAGTGCTAGGTGATGCTTGATGTGCTGAGGCTTCACATGCTGTGAAAACTAGCAGAATATATTCAAGCTTTATGATATTGTATGTATTTAACCTTTACATTGCTTGTTACATAGTTTTCTAATAGCCTCTAACTTAAATATGTTGATCTAATGGGTTTTCAGTTCAGTTACTTTAAGAATGAGTAACCATTACTTTATGATCGTCTGTGTAGGTTCCACAAATGTCCCTCTCCCCTTTTTTTTTTTCCTGTTTCTTTATTTTTATGCAGTCTATGGGGAGGTATTTAAGGAATTTTTTTCTCTAAAATATGAATTGCTAAAACCAATATCATTGAGATGTGGCTATGGAAATGTTTTGTGTCTGAATTGCAGCTGCTTATTGTCAATATTTCTTCTAGAACAAAGTGGGAAAGGAAAGCTGACTTGAAAGGAATTCTGTTTGCCATTCTGAAAATACGTTTTCTGTCTCCTAATTCAGGAACAGCCTATGTTGTTTACCAGCTGCTTGTCGCTTCAATGCCCAAGAAGCAGAAATGATTCCAGTTCAGGATGCCTCAGTGACTAGCATCTCTTCGTCCAATTCCATGTGACTACGATGGCAGCTTATACTTACTATAAGCAGTTGGCTTAATACTTGGAATCATAATTTAATTGTAACATGTTAACTGCAATCAATAAAGCAGGTTTTTTGTTGTGTTGTGGTGGTCTGGACTGTATCATGTGTTCTACATTAGAGTGCTTTTTACTTCCAGGAAGTGTACATTGAGTTGATCGATATGCAGATCTTTGAATTGTGAGCCTCTTTTCTTTCTACGTGGTTTATGTTAGTATTTCAAAGGTGAGTTAAATGCCTTGAATCCCTGTAAGAAAGTGATACCTTGTCTTTATTGTAGGAGTTTCCTCTTCTTGCTTTAGTGGAGCAAATTAATCTTAAAGTAGATGATTTGGATTTGATTAAACCTGTGCGGAAATGAATGTTGTGGACTTGATGATTATGCTGTATCTCTGCTGTCAACTGCTGGAAGTTGACTGTAATACATCTAGAAATAGAGAAATCTGATTCCTGATCACCATCCAAAGGTGACAGTTTTTACTATGTAGAGGTGATAACACCGTCCTCTGCAGCTCTAGGGACTTAGAAGTAGTCTCAGTTGAACTCAGCACCTTCACCTAATAGATCTTTTTTTTCAGTGGCTTTTCTGTGCTGCAGCTTAATGGAACACTAAAAGAATATGAAAAGAATGAAGATTTCTAAGCATGCAAATATGATAAGTAAGTGGTGGTGTATTTATCTTGCTGCCCATGAAATCAACATATACGTTAATCATGATTAAGACTTGGTAATCTTCCAACATTGCCTCATCTTTCAGGTGGTTAAAGCCAGCTTGTTCTCAGTCAGTAGGGTAAATAAAGCAATCGATTCTTTAGCATAAAATTAAAAAAAAGTTTATTAGTTTGAGGGTGTTCTAGAGCAAATAGTAAAGTGGAGGAGGGGCACAATGTGTTAATACTAACTGTACTAGTGCAGTGCTAGAAGTTCTCCACTGATTGAAAAGGTTTACAGTGACAATTAGGCAGATACTCTGGCAGTTGACTGCTAATTTGATCTAGGCTGAACTGGACCCTATTAAGCCAGAAATACTGAAGATACTGAAGGCAGTGCTTATAAAAGCTTCAAATTCTTGTTAACAACTTTTGTCAGTTTTTAATGGTCTTCTGGAAGAATTTCTTCAGTGCTCTCTGTAACTTCGAGGATAGGCTAAATGCTTAGAGAGACCGCCTTCTGTCTCTTCTGCGGTTTGAGAATAGGAGTGCCCCAAGCGATAGGAGCAGATCTAGTTCCTAAGTACACCCCACGTTAAGTGGGTTAGGTTTCAAACAATTGTAGCATAATTCGGGTTGGGAGGGACCTCTGAAGGTGAGTTGGTCCAATCTTCTGCTTAGAGCAGCGCCACTTCAGAGCTATGCTGTGTTGCCCAGGGCCTTGATCAGTCGCACGGGGAGTGTTGCCAAGGACGGAGATCCTACAGCCTCTCTGCAACCTGCTCCAGGGTTTCACTGTCCTCGCTCTGAAGAGAGAAGGTTTCTGGGATACAGGAATACACGTGTTTAAAGGATGGTTGTTAGCATTCCTGTAACACAGCTCTAAAGGAAGCCACAATTGCACTTGACTACTCCCACCTAGATGACCACAAATTTTACAAACTTAAAGGGGAAAGCAGGTATCTCTTAATGTCTTATGTTAAGACCTCTCGGAAAATGAGGCAAAAGCTGTAGGCATGGCTGAGTTTTAGGTTGCTGTTACTCCTTCATGTCAGGGTGTCAGTAGCTGCTGCTTCTAAAGCTCAGTTAACACTGGTTTCTGGGAGAGCTGTCAGCTCTGCTCCAGTATCATTTCTACTGGGTCACTCCAAACTTTCTGGCAGCAATTTGAACTATGCCTTAAGCTAGGTTATGTGCCTTAGCAATAACATGGTTGAGGAGGGCTCACCTGCTGTGTTTCACCAGCAGAACTGTATGACAGCTCTGCGTATGTAGAGAGACACCAAATGGCTGATAAAACTAACGGTCTGATCACGAACCTTTCCAAAGTCCTCCTCTTTCAGGGGCTGAGGTGGTGTTTATCAGCTTGCTATGACACTGACAACCACAAATGCAACTGGAGATCCATCGTTGACTTGGGGGGAGAAAAATTTGATTGTGGTTTAGAACTGGGCAGGGATACCCAGTAATAACTATTAGCTGCTACCACGTATTTGGGAACAAGCCTTATATCCAAAGCAGCTAGTGCTGTCAGTGGAAATGCCTGCTCTATGAAAACTGCTTCTAGGAAGCATCTTTAAGTTGCTGAGAATCATTTGTAAGCTACTCTGATGCCTCTTACTAGCTTGACTATTGCGATTACTGGGGAAGAACATCTCTGGGAAACAGTGGTAGCTGTGCATCCCTAGTTGGGTTTTATGTTCCTAACACAATTTGTGCCTTTGTAGCCTTCCTGTCAAGTTGCTACTCGTGGGTTGTTATGCTGAAAGTCTGGTGTTGAGTCTGTAACAAATAGAGCTTCTAAAAAAAAAACCCAAACCATCAAAATAATTCTTTTGTTTCTCTTCTCAAGGAAACAGTGGGTTTTCCAAAATGTGAAAATGAGCACAAAAATCTAGCTTTCCACTACAGTACTATTTTAAGCCTCTTGTGGATTAAGTTTGTTTAGAATTTTTCATTGCTATCCTGGAGAACATTCCCAGAGTATGCCTGTTAAACTTGAGGCAAACTGAAAGAGAAGGACCAGTGTATTCAGAATTCTCTGGTAGAACCAAAAATCTTAAAAAAGGAGAGTGGGGGAATACCCCTCGATGGCAGTCTCTCTGCATAGGTGGGTTTGGCCAACTGCATGACTAAAAGAGTAAGAACTGCCTGGATGGATGTCTCAGAAGAAGGTTTGGGAAATGGGATACAGCTTATCTTGAGATGAACATTGATGCCTACAAGGAAGAGAAGCCTCACAGCACAGCTAACTATACGTCACCGCATGTGAAGGAACCGGTCTGCTCTCTGCGACACTGGTAAGGCTTCTGCTGCTACCACGTGCCCAGGGTTACTACCAAGATGTGGACCAAGTGGTGGGCACCTGGAAGGCAGCATAAGGAAAGATCAAAGTCTTTAAAAAGCCCACATCCTTTCCCACCTGCAGGAATGATGAAGAATATTGAAAGAAGGACAATTGCTTAAACAGTCTAAATTATAAAAATCCTGTGATGTGCTAGGTGGTAAACGTGCGTTTCTGTGCACAACCGAAGCAGAACGTGCAGCCGTTCTTGTTCTCACAATCAACCGCATCTCAGAGTCCGCTGCCTCAGGAACGGCGGCAGCTTGTGAGCTGTGCTGCAGGCAGCAGCCCTGGTGGGAGGGCATGTGGGGTAAATGCAAGCTGGGAAAAAGACCTTTGTGCTACAAAGTGATCAGATTTATAGACAGAGCCTTGAAATGTTATTTAAGTGAATAACAAATGACAAGAAATTGTTCTGGCAGAGGTGGGTCTAGTAACCCCGAGACGTGTCCCTGGAGCCTGCAGCTGGAGGCAGGCGGGAGAGCGGTTGGCGCTGCCGGGGCCACGCTGTGCTGCTGCCGAGCGCTCTCGGGGTGGCGTGCGCAAGCCGTGGGTCTGCCAGCACTTCTGGAATTTTTCTGCTGCAGGAGCGGTAGGAGGATGAAACCAGACAAGCCCCACGGTCGGCTGCTCAGCACCATTTTCTGGGACTGCGCTACAAGGCTGACAGGGAAATTCCCATCTACTGTTCAGTCTATATGTGTAATTTGGTGCAGGCACGTCCACATCACAAGCTGCCAGAAGGTGTAAACTAGGTGCCTATACTGTCTTTCTCTAGGAAAATGCAAAAAGAGAGCCATACATCTTCTCTAGGGCTAAAATTAATGGAAAGAGTTTGGAAGTATCTGAAAATCTTACCTTCGGTCTCCCTATGGGTATTTTATGAGTAGAAGAAAATAAAATAAGCAACATCTATTACTCCTTGCTAACATGAAAAAATGATAAATTTTAAAAAATAAAATGGTCGGTAATATGAAGTCATGGGCTGCTAGCAGTTAACACACTCAAATTGTGTGCTTTTCTTGTCTGATTCTATTACTGTAGTGCTTAATTACCATCCTTAAATCAATATTTTCTGGAGTTAGGTATTATACTAATGTACAACATTGCTACCTTATTGCGTCCTACTTTTGATTTGTGTTTAGGCAATATACATGGTGTCTTTCCCTGAAAAAGATTTCATGTAAACTTTATTTTCTATTTCAGGTTCATGTAAAATTTATTTTTCAGTTACTGTTCTTAGAAATGGTAGCTATAATTTTTTTTGTAGTTTGCTTTAAAGGATGGGAAAGCCTCCTGGAGCTGAGGACATGGGAACGCTGTCCTGGCTTCCACTGAGCTGGGTTGTTCTAAATGTCACCCCTAAAAATATGGGGTACATTTTCTGCTAGATAGGCAATGAGTACTCCATCTCTTCCACTTCCCTTGCCACCCTATTTTTCATTATATAAGCTTTTAAACTTATATGGTTTTAAGTTTAACAAAGAAAGCTTAGTAGTGTGACGGCTTTGGCAGAATGAAAAAAAATTGTTCATCCTACTGTAAGAGAAATGACTGTTCAAACAATAATCAGACAGATGAAACAGACGAAAATTAAATCATCAGTATTGCAGTTCTAGGTTACACAATCCCTTCTGAGACTCCAGACGTACAGACCGTGTTTTACTTTCTCCATTGTGAAGGTAGCTCAGAACTAGCTGCTCTTAGAACTGTGCCCTGGGCTACATTTTCTTGGCTGCTGAATACATGTGTAGGTCAAATTAGCCTGACACACACAAAAATTTCCCCAGTAAAAGTCTGAGGACTAATAATACACAATATCAAAGCATTGGCTTCCTAAAAGACACCATGAAAAAAGTTCAGAAACTCTCAGAAGTAAAAAGAAAACACCAGAGAGACCTCTAAGTGTATGAACTTACCTGTACTTTTTTCTTTTTCCAGATCCCAGAGTAAAAATACCACTTTTCTAATGTTGCTCACCTTGGCTATCACTGCTCTGAACTATAAGAAGGCATGATGAAATTTTTTTGGCATCTTTCATATTAAGCTGTCCTTCCTTACGCTCCCATTCTTTCCCAATTCTGTTACATAT